TTTTGGGAATCCCCCTTATGAACAAAATAGTCTTTGGGAAGCCCTTTCTGTATCACAGAAGTGGTCATTCCCCACAGCCCTGCACAGGCCCTTCCCAAGGAGAAACCAGGACCTGGCGGTTTTTTTTCATGTCATATGGCTTTGTGTTGAGTCACAGGTGGGGGGCTTTCATCACACTCTGGCCGGTCTGGGCCGGGGTTTGCCCTATCAATGGTTGCGGTTGCTGGTGGTTTCCATCAAAACGGGTGCACTTTCCCCGTCATAGAGGAGCAAGCCAATTCATCCATTCGTGACCGGCCCATTCTTGGATGCCCAACCCAACCCCAGATGCCCCTGCTTCACAGAAACCCGGAACTTCTGGACATAGTTGCAAAATACCCAGAACATGACTTCTAGATGTTTTCTCATAAAGATTCGACTTACCCTCCCACCCTTTTCACCTGGAACTGTTCGAAGTTCGGGAAAATTGGTCCCTTTAAAAAGAACAGGAACAAACTGATCAATCCGCAGGCTGCAGCCTAATGGTCCCACCCTTGTCACTTGGAACTGTTCGACGTTCGGGACCTGGTCATTTGAAAAGGAAACCTATCCAAACCAGGAAACCTTGAAGGTCAGGTTTCATGAGTTAATTGGTAGGGTGCTTCCCGTGTGACGGGGAAGCCTGACTTCAAGGTGGGCCTCCTTCTTCCTCTCGCAACGGAGGGCCAGGGAGCCAGAGTCTGCCGGAGACCCAGCCAGTTGATGAACCCGTTTTTTGGGGGGAGCCGGTTCGTTGAATCTTTGGGAAGCAGCGAGTTCAGCTGTCCTATTTTGGTGTACCTGAAACAAACTTACCAACAAATGCCTCCAAGTAGGAGAAACTTGACCCCGAAAGTTGACTCCCTGAGAAACAAATTCAGCTTGGTGTCCTTGTGGTGTACCTCCAAATACAAAACACACCCAAACAGGTAGAATCATGAAGTATTGTGACTGGGTTTGGCTTCACGTAACAAATCCCCGAGGAAATTCCGCAGTTCCGGGCCCAGCACCCTTTGCGACAACCCTTAGCTCCACCCGCGGTTGTGGAGCTCCATTTGTCAGGTTCCAGAGGGGTGGGTAATGGGTTTGTTTCAACGAGGAACCCCAAGAGGGTGGGTGTTTTGTGTTTTTTTGCTTGCGGCTACCCCATGCTTGTGGCTTGAAAGGGATACTGAAAAGAAAACCACTTAGGCGAGGGGGGGGGCCTGAAAAAGGACACACCCAAATGGTTGGTTTCCTTTTGCTTTGAAGATGCTAAAAGAGGCGCGCCCAAATCGTGATATCACGGGAGGCGTACCCAAATGCAGGCATAATAGGGTGCCCAGAATCTGCCCTTGCTCTTTGGTACCTTTGAAAATTGTGTTTACCTATTGGCAGGGGGTCAATATTCAGCGTCATCTACCGCAAGGACGTCCATGGCTCTCACTCAGCAAGTCACCATACAACAGGTCACCAGGGATTGGGGGATACAAGCAATGCAGACCGGGGCAATGGGGGGAGGTAGTGCGGACCCTGGCTCGCCTTGGCTTCGCATTGCCCGTTCTTCGCTCTCAAACAGTTGTGGGTGTCCGTTTTTCCAACCAACCACCAAACCTGACCCAAACCACCCCAACCAATCTATCCAACCCAACCCGACACAGTTGGGATCGAATCTCATGAACAAGCCAATCAAAAGTGGTTTGTGGGTATCCGTCCACAGGGTCCACAATTCAAATTCAATCCCAGCTGCCATCTTGCGGGAGAGGCCCCGTGGTTCCCAGGAAGAGGGCTGGCGCGTGCTGAACTTCTGCGAGTGCGAGCTCTTCTGTGATGGTGCGCATGGATTCGGATGCGAGTGATCCAAGACTTGATTTTGGGAAGATCCCTTGGGAAAGAGCCCCTGAATGTCGCGTTCCTTCTGGAAAAGCGGGCTTTAGGTTGCCGCTTTCTATGATGCTGTTGGGATTCGAATCCCGTTGAAAGATACTCTTGTTAGTCATGGCAATAATTCATGTTGTGGATGCGCAAAATCCATTTCGCATCGCTTAAGTAACCATGGGAAGCCATTGTTGGTACTTACAGGAGAATCATCATTCCAGGGTTTCTTCGGTGCTGCAGGATTGAGTCCATCCACTGTATTGGTCTCACTGAAGGGTTATTTCCCACGACCATTTGGCGAATGCGCAGAGGGGCTTCGCGTGCGTTGGCTTTTCCATTTGACGGGGTGTGGGCATAGGTGTCCTTTTTGGTTGTTTTGCTAGAAAAAATAGATGGCCCTGGTTTAACTGGTGGTTTAACCATCTACCAGGGCCACCTATTTCCCCTAAAAGGACACCTATGTGCATGGGGCGTTCATGAAGCTTTGCTTTACTTTGGGTGGGTCTCTTAACCAAACCTCAAATGGGGTTCCACACATTGCGACCAGCTGTGCCAATTCATTTTTTGGGGGCGCAAAGGAGAACACCGGCGCCAAACTAGGCGTGTTTTTTCTTTTTTGTGTTGAGCCTCGGTGTCCTCTTCAGCTAGCTTGCTGAGGGAATTTAACCACCAAATCCAGAACAGCTCCAGTTGTCCCAGAATATGTCGACCCTAAGTGTTGTGTACCTTTTCCTCTTTTTTTTGGGGGGGAGGGGGGGGGTAGCCTTTTGGGATGGTTTTTAAAGGGACACAACCCCATGACGCTGAGTGTTGTGTATTTTTTTGGGGGGGAGGGAGTAGCCCTTTGGATTGGTTTTCAAACATACACCACCCCAATGAGACAAACCCATGGCGCCTCGGTGCCAGGGGCTGCGCACACCTTGGCGCTGTCCCGGCAGCCGCGGCTGGTGGAGTTGGGGGGCCAGGTCTTTGGTTCGCCCCGGGCTATTTGGTTCTCCAGAAGTAGCTCCCGGTCTTTGCTTTTTTTTCTTCCGCTTTTTTGCCTTTTTTCCCTTTGTTTTCTATTAACCAGGCAAAGAAGGTCTATTTTTGTTGCTGGGGTCCTAATTCCAGCCAAGTTTGGTTCTCCTCTTCTTGGCTATTTGGCTGTGGGTAAAAAAAATAAACCAGGGGGCCAGAGGTTTGAGTCCTTGGTTCCATTTACCAGAGTTCCATTTTGGGTACCCATTTTTGACTAGCCGTTTGGTTGGACCTTATTTACTCCAAAATGACCCTTGATTTGGGCTTATCCTTGGGCATGTTCCAGGGGTCTGTTGCTTGGATCTTTGGACTTTAGCTTTTTGAAAAACTTCCCTAAGCAACCCCAAAAAGGGTGCTCTCCCAAAAACACAGCAGCCCGTGCTTGTTTACTTTGCCCGGGGAAACCAAATTGGGCCTCGGCCATTTCGCTCGGATTTTGGGGCAGGTGGAGGAGCCTCACCATTGTTGGCGTGTTTTTGTTGTTGTTGGTTTTTTGCTTTTTGTTGGTTTTATTGGCATGTGTTTTGTGTTTGTTTTTGTTGTTGGCATGTTTTTGGTTTGTTGTTGGTTCATTTTTTAGGTTCAGGGGCCGCAAACAACTTTAGTTTTTTTGCAAGCCCATTCCAAGGATGGGAAAGAGTTCCTTTTCTGGGCCATGTGGGGACCCACTGTGCCAGGGAACCGTTACCCCAAATCGTTCCTGCCTGTTCTTCCATGTGTGTCATGTCAAAACTCATTCCATGGGTCATGGTTCCGTCAGAGCGCTCACAGTGGCTGTCTAAATTCCCTTGAAAAGTCTTTAGAGGTTCCATGCCCCTTGACTTGCCCAATTCTAGTCCTGTTCCACTGGCGCCGCCAACCTGTATGGCATGGGGTAAGGGTGTATAGGGCATACTTTGGTTTCTTGGGCACGTAGTTTCCCCTGACAATAAGCCCAACTTGGATGTAAGCACGTCAGGTAGGCAGGCTGTTATAACCACGCTTAGGGATCGAAACCAAGTTATTTCAGTTATAACCGTGACATTGCCTACCTAAGTGGGTTGAGCATCCAAGCATATGAAGACAATCTTGGTAAGACTTCCCGGTTTCGCTGGATGAAGTGGCTCGAATTCAAGGTGTTTCGAGCATTTTGGTGCCAGACGAGAGGATTCCTGCAATCCTTTGGGTCTTCGCTGACCCGAATTGGTTTCAGATTACGCTCCTTCAAGTGGACAGAGCGGGTTCCCAAAAGGAAAGCCTCAAAGTCCTCCAAAACCCTCCGATCAGCTTCCATGATTCTTAAAACGGAGCGTAGTTTCCGTTTTGGGTTTCATATTTCAGGTTGATTCTATTTGTTGGGGAAACCCTCGCAGTCAGTTTTCGTCGCCCTGTGACTTTTAGAAAGATGAGTCTCCTTTCATGTTGAACCAGAAACAGTTTCCGTCCCCGCGAAAATTGAATTGGATTTGTATACGTATGCCATTGGAGGGATTTAATTTAACTACCACACAAGGCTGTTGACATGGTTTCGAAACACGAAGGCTTGCCCCTTATGAACTCTACAGGCCAGGCCGGCATTTTACTCGGTGGAGTTTTTAGCCAAGGATCGAGCAGAGGGTAACTCATTCGGAGGCTGTTGCCATGCGCTCGTTGCTTTTGGAGCCCGCCGACTCCGATGCGCCGAAGTGCTGGCATATCGTGGCTCTCAGGCAAAGATGTTGCTGGAATTCCAGACATCCCCGAAATTTCAGAGAAACGTAAGGTGCAGTACCCCCCAAACAGGTAGGCATCGTTTTTTGTTTTTGTTTTTTTGCTTTTATGGGGAGACCCCGAGATCGCGAGGTTTCGGTAGACTGCCTCCAGGTGACTTGGCTCCAGCGACCCAACCGTGCCATACCGTGCCCATGTTGGGATCTTGGACGCCCCAAGATTGATGGCATGGCCGGTTTCTCCAAACAGGATTGAAGCATGACGCACGCCTTTCGTGCTTTCATTTTCCAGAGAAGGGGATGTGGGATAAGCCATTGCCAATAGGGGTTGACTCGATTTGGGGGTATCCAGTGTATCCCCATAGTCATGTGGCTGGCGCGCCGCCCGCAAGCACTGCATCCAAGCAGCAAGGCCATCAGCCTTTGCAACCAGCCAGCATGCGTCTTGTTCCCAGTCCATGGCTCTCCACAGGCGACTGGGCAAGATGTACGTCGGCAAAGGGAGCCACTGTAAACTGTGCTGTTGGATGCTCAGAGGGTGTTCAATCCATCTTCCTCCAGACTCCAAATCCAAGCTTTAATGCAGGTTGTAAGGATGGCAAGATTGGGGGATTCATGTCCACCAACCGCATTTGCGTATTAATAATCATAGCCAAATGAACTTGTATAACAACCTTCTTTGTTCATTTGCAGCAAGAGTACGCCAAGGGGCCCTACATTTGCCCTTCTGGTGGTTTAAACATTACCTTTGGCCATTATGTGCATGTCCCTTTTGGCGAAGTAGTGTGTAAAAGGGTACATCCATCTTGGCCCTGTCATATGATATATAGTTTCCATGAGTCGCTTTATGCTTGGTCGCGCTAAAATTTAACTTACTTTTACCCAGCTAATGTCGAGCCGGATGGATCAATCTGGTGGATGAATAGGGATGTTGTCCTAAATGGATATCCTCTACGCACGGGACCACAAAACAACCAGGGGTTTGTCAATCCTGACGTTCCCATTCAGCCACGAATGGAGCATATTGGAGCCCTGCTGTTGCTTGTTTTTCAGTAGATTCCCCTACGGAGCTCTATATATGCATCAAAAAGTACCTCAAACACGCCCATGAACAAGACACCCCAAAAAACGACACACCCACCAGCACCCAACTGTTTCTTTCAATGTCCGGCAACCAAAAAGGCAGTTGTTGGGGCGCTGCTGGTAGGGCTTTCCTGATGTTAGGTTTCCTGGCCACGGGTTTCCCTTTACTCATTTGCCAGTGTCATCGATTTTCCCAGCAGAACCTACGGACACACCCAAATGTCGGTGGTTGTTTGGATTCCACGGTGGGGAGTACGTCCCCACGCCCGCAATCCCAAGCGCCAGGGATGGGAGACCTGAGACTGTCAGGCGACCGGATGGGAAGCGAGACGAGGGGTAGGGGTGGGAAAAGGGTTTGTCGTTTTTTGGGGACCCCCACTCTTGGCTTTAAAGGGGAACCAAAAGGACACTCACCATTTTTGTCGTCCGAATCTTGAGACCCCGCACATTTGGCAGTCCTTGGTTTCCTAAGATGATCCTGACCCACATGGTGGAGAAGAGTTACATGTCCAGGTTCCAACAGGTAACCTTTTCTTTCGAGGCCCCTTTGGCAAGTGAGCGTATCTAGTTTGCTACAATCACTTTCGCTTTGGGTACTGGGGTTTTTAGAGATTGCTGACGAATAGGCGTCCAACGGAGCCCTGGTGTGTGAACCCGTTGTTCAACCCTAGAAGTTACTCTCCAACGATCGGTGCGCACGCAGAGGTGAAAGCCGTTTGGGAGACCCTCTCACTTCTACGTCTGGAGGGAAGGGTTGAGGCACGAGCTCGTGAGCTCATGGAGCCGTGGGGCCAGCAACAAAATCTGCGATGATCTGCGTTTCGCGCAAGCTTGTCCCTTGAGTTGCCAAGTGGCTGTGGGTCAAAACCTATTGGTACCATTTTTGGGGTAGGTGCACCACCCATTTTAGTCTATTTTAGTGGGGATTGGGATGTTCACTGGGGGTACGATTCGGCTTTTGACCCATGGCCAAGTGGCTTGTCTCCTTCAGGATCATGGCCCTGTCACCGAACCAAGGGCACGACAAGTGATGCCACTCAGGACTCAGGATGCAGGTTTTTTTGTTTTTTCTCTCGGCGGGACGAAATGCGTATAACGTCTGGCAACCAATAGCACCGACAGCTGAAACTTGCCTTTGGGATCGCCCTGTAGAAACGGATGGTTCATAGGGATCATGCTCTCATTCCCTGAGAAGTGAAACAAGACGAACAAACAATCATTTCACCAGCCTCAAGTATTTGGATTTTTTTGAGGGCACCGGTTGTGAAAGGGAACCCAAAAGGAAAACCACCACTTTGGGGGCTTACAAAAGGCTCACAAAGCATTGTGGGGAGCGCTTTCCGGTCAAGAACTATCAGACATGGGACCCCTTTTGACGCGGCTTGTCAAAGTTGCAAGCGAAGGAGCACAAGTTGAAGTCCCTTCAAGGACTTTTCCAGACCCTTCCCTCTTTCCAATCATGGAAGTGGACAGGGGTGGAAATGGCCCAATGAAAGTAGTCTCAAACAACTTTCCAATCATGGAAGTGGACAGGGTGGAAATGGCCCAAAAGGAAAGTCGTCTTAGCAAAGCTCCCTGTCAGCTTCCCTGATTCTTAGGCTATCCCCATTTGATCCCGTCCGGGAATCGGATCGGATCGATGGATCGAGGGGCGAGCTGCGGCTCCTGCGCTGCGGTCTGCGGAGCTTGCAGGACGACCGGAGCCGTCAACTCCAAGCGACCGATACCTTACTTCCATTTTGCTGAAATGAATGTTTTCGTTTTTCCCCCTGTTGGTTTTGCAGGGAATCTAGCACTACTGGACTTTGCTCTTTTTTTCCAGGGGGCTTAAGCAAACGGACGCTTAGTCGGTAGCTTGGATTGGTGGATTTGAAGCCTTCCGTTTGACTCCAAATGGGGACCGTACCCCCTGAACATCCAAACCACCAAGCTAAACCACGTGTAGGGAAAGTAACAATTCATCCCCCCTTGCGCTTTTATATTTATATATTTGCGTAGCAACATACATCATATATATATATATAAATACATATATATGTGTATATAGACGTATATTCAAGTTACCCATGTTCAAGATACATGCTGTGCACATCCCTCCCCCCCTTTTCACCTGGACCCGTTCGAGCTGCGCTTCGGGTTTCCGGCTGGCCAAGCCCCCGAGGAGTGCGAGGGCCTTCGGGCGCCGGAGGCGCAGAGGCCGGGAGGTGTCGATCGGAAAAGACGGAACGGTTTTGTGGAGACAAGGTCCGCGGTGTCGAAAAAAAAAATCGCATGCCTGAATTTGGGTAAAGAAAAATCGTGCGGATGGTTGCGAAATCCAGGTTGGTTGCGAAATCGACAAATTCAATGGTTTCAACCATGGTTTCGCTGTGGCGGTGCGAAACGGATTTTGTCCGTCTACATGGCGATTAATAAATTAACACATAATATGTCTATTAGCACAGGACTCTGAGGAGACTGGGGTCCAAGGCCGAAGGGCTTTCTGATAGGGCCACGGCTCAAAGCAGGGCTCCCCAGAAAGGCACGAGTCGCGATTCAATGCATTATGGTTGTTGCAACGGGAAGCATTTTTCCCATTTTTGGCTGATGGTGGTGGTTGGTGGTTGAACTCCAACCACTTAACTGCTAAATGTTTGATAATTTTTGCTGCCCCTTCCAACGTCAACCAAGAGAGCCAGAGAAGCCGGTCGGAAGTTTCTTTCGAAAGATTGGCCGAAGTCTTTGCGTGCATCTTGTGCTTTCCTCTAGGGGAATTGGGTGTGGCCCCATTGTTGAAGAAGGGCAAAATTGCAACAGGTTCTAGTCTGGTCATATATCAAGGTGCCGAAATGTTCGGTGCATCTTTTTGAGCATAGTCATTGTTATATTGCTTACTTCTTGTTATTGGTATTGTTTCCCTCCCGCCAATTAACATGGGGGTGTTTCTTTACGGGGTCAACCAAAGACGTCCACATGAAACCCGACGGTCCCTCTAAAGGAACATGGAATATCTTCCAGGACCCATCCCTTTTCCGTCAGGTTCCATGTCAGAAGGGAGGGTAAGTGGTTTACCCATGGATATCCCACAATTCACAGAAATGTCTCATGAATCATCCATCCCAACTGGTGCAGGATTTTGTCCATCCTTTGTAGGTGTCAGTTTGGTTCGTTCGTTGGTAGAAATCGATGGGTTTTTCACTGGTTTAGATTGCTTTGCCCCAGTTCTCAGGGCCTCTTTTGGAAAAGGTCATCTCAGGGTTGTTGTTGGGACACATTTTTCTCCCATGTTTGCTGATGGTGGTTTTTGGTGGTTGAAATCCAACCACTTAACTGCTAAAACTTGAGAATGTTTGCTCCCCAAACCCAACGTCAACCAAGCTATGTTGCCCGCTGCACGCGTTTTGCTACGAGCTTCGCTGGGATATCTCTCACTCATCCCATGCCCCGTGCGCTGTGAGTCGCCTGAGCTCATGGACTTGAAGCTTTTTGGAAGACGCTGGACGTTGGGACTGGATCCACTCAAGTGGTGAATTGCAGGCAGCCAAACCCTGACTTCCGAAGCTGGATTCCTTGAAGCATTCACCAATACTGCAGTACCAGCACTTCAAACTTTGGACATAGGACATAATAGACATATAAACTAGTACTGTACCAGCCTTTCCCTTGAAGCTCCGATGAAGCGGAAATTGGAGAAAGATGCTCCTGTTTTCGACTGGTCCTTCATCCCCATGGTTGTGGAGGCAACCGGGCACTGGCACTCAAGGTCACGTGGCTTCACGGAGCAGGGAGCAGGAGCTCGCGGTTGTCACAGAAGCCGGGCCCGGGCTGCCGTGCGACGGCGCTTCAAGCTGGCTTGCTGATCGGTAGTCCAAGGCCTCGAGTACGATTTCAGCGCCGTGCTTCCCTACATGAACGAGTCTTTGGCAGGGGTCAGGGCCCTAGGAGCCATCGAAGAACTGCTGACTCTCGACCAGCTCGCGGTGAAATTCTTCGGGCAGGAGGCCTCACTGCCTGGAGATTCATTTGGCCATATTTCCTGGGGTCGTCCCCCTTACTGTAGTTGCTCGGACGTCTATTTGGAAGCCTAGTTATCGGTGTTTGCGCGCTTGCTACCGGATTTGCTATCTGAAAGCACGGGGAGGGTTCGGTTTTTGCATTTTTGCCGCCCTTCTTGGGGGCTTCATTTTGGGACACGTCGAGGAACAGCGGGGCCCCGAACAAAGACGACGCTCGTCCTTTAAAGGGACGCGAGGCTCGTGTCCCTGCAGCTGCACGGCAATTGCCTGTCCACCCTGCGGGGCCTCGATGCGGCGCGGGCCTCGAAGCCTCGCACTGAAGTCTGCAGAATTTACTTGGCGGGTCCCAGCCATTTGGTTCCTTTTCATGGTTGTCGTTGGGAAACATTCTTCATTGCTTATTGTAGTTTAGTGGGAAATCTCACTTAATTGCTAAAAACTAGTCTTGTGCTCCCCTTCCAACGTCAACCATATTTGTGTTTAAAGCTTTTTAGTTGGCTTGGTGACATAGTGGGGGGTTCCGGTTCCTCTCAAAGTTCAATTTTTTAGCAGGGGATCTGTGGACAGCCCAGTTTATAGCGAGCTCACCCATTCAGGGGTAGAGCGAGCTTACCATGATCCTTTGCTTGGGGATCCAATTCTTATTGCAGGTTTTGGCAACATTGTAAAAGTTGCAGATATGTGGAGAACATGCCGTCCAAATTTGGGCTTCCAGACTTAGGGTGTCAAATTGTACGAAATCTGAGAAGTGGCTGGAATGATGTTTGTCTCCTGAGTACCTCGAAGTGAGCTTCGCAATATTTTGATGAACGGCAACCACACACACACACACACCGGAAATCCAAAGGCGACAGCTGCGGATCAGACCCGAAGGTCCTGAAGCCAAAATCGGAACTTCCCTGTCCTTTTGGTTGCCGCTTCAAGCAAGAAAAGGCCGGGGGGGGGGGAGTCCGGCGTTGAAAGACACCCAAAAGTGACTGAATTGGGCTCTGACCTGTTTGGTTCGGGCACTGTTGCACGCTGTTGGTCCGTTCCAGAGCTTGATCCTCGCATTTTCTTTGGCAAGCGCCATTCGGGGGACCCACCTTGTGGGTTTGATGTTAAATGGAAGCTCAGCTATTTGGGTGTTTCTTAGTATAGACCCCTTGAAAATCGGTTATTTCCCTTGGTTGTAATTGAAAGCCCTCCAAACATCGGTCTACCATGTAGACCCGCTTGTATGATTTGAAGGGGGGAATGAAAGAACGGGATGGACAGCGCCATGCTGGTGTCTCAATGAGACCTCTGAAAAGGTGAGCGGGTCGGAGTGGATTCTCCAACTGCAAGTAAGCCAACCACAAGGCAAATTGCCAAGGTTTCTGTGCAAAACCTGCATGGTGGACAGTTGGGTGTTACTCTTGTTTTTTTGTGACACCGGGGGAAAACCCTGATAAAAGTAGTTGTGCGGATGATAATCAAAGCCTTTGGGCCCATTTGCCACCATGTGGATGATTGGTGGCCTCCCATCTAGGGAATCGATCTACTTTTTGCAAACTCACGTGCACTTTAATGGGGTCCCAAACCTCTAGACAAGGTTTCTTCTTTGGGTCCGTGTTACTCTGTAGAAGAGTGTTTGAGGTGCACTGTTGGATTAGTTCAGTACGAAAGCTCAAAGGTCCATCAGTGGCCTTCTAGTGGGATCGGAGCTTCCATTAAAAAGTGTGTGTGCGGGTGTGTCTTTGTAATTAGGAGACTCCAAGCAATATTGGACACAGACACGCAGACACGCAGACACAGACACAGACACAGACACGACACGGACACGACACGGACACCCAAACCGCCTCCAGGACTCAAGGAGGGACTCCGCACGCCTCTCCTTTAAACATCACTCGACCCAAATGAATTGAAACTGGGCCAAAGAGGGATTGTTTTTGACACCACTCCAAAGAGGGGACATACAGAAAACCGAAAAGCCCGTTTTCTTCAAAATGCGAGGCTTGCCCGCTGCTTGAACAGCTTATCATCTCCTCCAATGACCTGCAGAGTCTCGACGGACTTCAGGGGCTACAGCGGCTCAGGACCCGGCAGAGTTCGGGCGCGAGTTTCTTTGAGGGTACCTTTCCTTGGAATGGCTTTAAAGGGAAGCCAAAAGGAAAACCACCATCTTTGGGCACCCGGATTTTTGACGCATGTCTGGCAGGGCCTTTTTCTTGCCTTGATGGTTGGCTTTTTGTATGATTTCGTTGGGAACCAACCACCAACTTCGGTTCCTTTCGTTCGCATCGATCCCCCCTAAGGGCGGCGTTTCAGATGTCTGGTTCTCCGCCAGCAGCTTAGGTCACCTCTCCATGTAAAGCCCAACCTGACAGGGTTGGGAGTGGTGAGTCGCTTCCTGGCCGGTTTTTGCATTTTCCCTGGTTTCCTTTGCTGCTTTTGGACCAAGCACTCACTTGAAACCCAATCATTTTTAAAGGGGACACCCAGTGGTGCCCCTTCCCCTCTTTTTTGGAGGCCAGGGCGCCCCCTGTTTTCTCCCGCGGCCACTGTCTGGGTTTATGCAAGTTAATGCCCTGTGAGCGTTTTCAGCCACTCGAAAGTCATCAGACCCCTGAGATTGTTCCAGCACGCGATCCCGGGCCGGGCGCATGCGGAAACGTCACAAGTCTGGCCACGTTGAGTTTGATGTGGCTTGTTTGCGTAGTGCAAGGTTCAGACATGGATAAGGGTGATTAGAATTAATGTGGGGTACTTGAACACCAAAGTAAGTCATGGTCATGGGAAAATGATGTCCCATGTGCATGTATTTGAAGCCCGAAGTTGTTATACTGTGTACAACTTGGGCAGTGACCTCCCGGGACCCAACCAGGTTTCCCGCACATTGGAGCTACTGGCCGCGGGAGGCTGTTCTGACTTGTCCGGCTTCTTGACAGGCACCATGTCAACGCCGCAGACCACCGGCTTCCAGTCACTTTTGCTGGAGAAGTTCAAGAGGGTGAGGGCTCGCCGTCAAGAGGAGCTGCCAGCACGTCTCAACTTGGACGCGCTCCTCAGGTGGAGCGCTTCATTGGACAGCCAGAACTGCCTGGAGCACGCCATTTTGTCCCATGAGCTTCCTTTAGCTTTAGGGCGGTGGGCGTTTCTTTCTTCGCGGCAAATCTCCGGCCAGGATCTTGGACGTGTCCAGCAACTGCCTCTCGGGCTTCCATGGACTCCACTCCCCCATCCTCGAGGAGCGGAGGGCGACAAGCGGGTGCAACCGGTTGCACTGGGAAGACACGGTGCAAGCGGTTTTTGCACTAAGCGTGCAACCGCTTTTCCACGAGGAAAACAGGGTGCAACTGAAATCTGAATGCGGTTTTTCACTTTCAAACTTTGTTTTGTTCAGGACAGATAGTGGTTTCCCATGTTGCAGTGGAGTTCCACTACAGGATCCCCTATTTTGAGAAGCCCAAGTGTCCAAATTGCATCCCTTTGTGGTTGAAGTTCGGACAAAGCAGTCATTGCTGAACAATGAGTCAACCTGTTTGAGTATGGGAAACCACTCAACTGTCTTGGTGGTTTTTGGCGGCTTGGCTTTGGATTGGGAGCGCTCCCAAAAGGAAGCGCGGGCGCTGACGCAACTTTTGCTTTCAACATGCAAGTTGTGGACCATGACCATTGCTCGTTTAATGCCACTTTTGCTCATGTAATTATTGGTATTTGTTTCTTCATGGCACTCTTGTGTGCGAGCAAACCTATTTTAGCGGGGAAGCTTTTGTATTTTCGGGGCATTCCTTTTCGTTGAAAGATGTTACCCTGCGTGTTTGCTTGCGCGTTAGTTTTTTCCATATCAAGTAGCCAGTAGCCAGGTACTCTTTTTGCCTTGGAGGGCGTGGGCGTGGGCCCCGAGTAAGTAAGGGGTTCGTTCGGCTCCGTTTCAGAGGCTGGCTTCCCATATTCCAACGCTCAGTTCACCAAGCTCGGGGACCATGCGGTTCATGCGAGGGGGGTTGCGTATGAGTATGAGATCATACATTAAGCCTTTCAGTACATTGGGAGTACTGCACTTTGTAAACTGCTTGGTTGCTACACGGTTGGATGTTGAACATTTGATTGTTTCGGAACATGTGGTTCCCACCTTCCATTTGCTTAAGCCCCCCGGGGAAAAACATACGTCTAGTAGTGAAATCGGTTCCTTCTCAAACCAAGGGAAAATAGCAACATATTGACTAGGTTCTTCAGTCGTGCCCTTTTACCCTTTGTTGGGGAAGAATTTTGCTACGAAAATAGACTACAGAAAAAATCGGGGGCACCCTTATTCTAACCTCTCAAATCTGGACACAGTTGATTTCAGCCAATGGAAGCCACTTGCCTGAGTTGGGTCCTTCACACACTGGCCCGCATGGCCCGCGAGTTGATCCCAGGAGCTCCGTGCAGCCTACAACCAGATCAGCGGCCTGACGGGACCGAGTTATGCGATGGGGCCTTTGATTTTGACCGATCAATCAGCCCCTGTCAATTGAGTGTGGCTCAAAATTAAAGACCTAGGGTTTTTGGTTCCATTTGCCAAGGTGCCATTTTGGTACATTTATTTGAGCCCCTGTCAATTAATATTTGGGTGCCCTCCAAGATTAATGGGGTGTTACCCTCCCACAGTGATGAATCCCCACTAATAAATGAACAGGGGCATAGGCGTCCTTTTTTAGGACATAGATGGCGCTGGTTGGTATTTGCTCAGATGGGGATGGATGGAGTTCAGTGATACAAGCCACAACACATAGTTGTTTACTCGTTGTCCAGGGGGGTCTTTGTAAATGCACGCAAACGAAGGTTGTTCAGACTCCGACCTCGCAAGGTCTGGACTTGCTGGGGACCTGTCTAGTGCAATGGTACTTTTGTTCGACTGTTGCAAGCGGATGGATGGGAAGTCCAGTTTAGATATGTACAGTGAACAATGGGTTTGGAGACTTGACTTTTGCGGGCCATGCACTCACGAAGTTTGTTTTTTGTCTCAAACCACAGCTGGGTCCCAAACCTAGGTCCCAACGAATTTGAAATCCCTAGAGCATGGGGGTATTGGGTCCCAAGCCTGTGCTTTGGGTAGTTTTAGACTTCATGCTTTGGTTGATGAATGATCTATCTCGCGAATCAAGGCTGGTCTTTGTGACCGAATCGCCCCCCCCCTCCTTTCAGACCCCGGGGTTTGCCATTGCAAAAAGGCCGATCACGAACTCTTGCGACAAGCTGGATCTTTGGTAATGTTGACCCCGGATTTTTAAACCCCAGTTTATTAATATGGGGGCGTTCCCCTCCAAAAGTGACAAATCCCCACCAAGACCAGGGACACCCCCAACTGAGGTTTATTAATCCAGGGTCAACGTTATTTTTCGGATCTTTAGACTTTCACTTTGCTCGCCAGCGCGGAACGATAAATGAAATGACCCCGACAAACCATCCATGCGATGGTTTCCTTTCAGGGAAACCCCTTCCGGTTCATTCCCCACACCTGACTGGGTCATTCCCTAAATATCGCACCAGCAAGTCTCCGGGAAAGATATTTCTCACTGCGAAAGTCCAACTTCCATTTGCTGAAGGCAATTGTTTATTTGCCCTTGTTGGTTCCAAAGGAAACCGAGTTCACTACTAGAAACATGTTGTTTTTGCGATGGAAAGTATTTATTGAAGACATGTCCATCACTATTGCATTCTTCATGTTGTTCTTTTAATGGTCCCTTCAAAGAGAATCGATTTCGCTACCAGAAGTAAAAGCACACGAAATGGAACCACTAGACATATGTTGGTTATGTGCTATTGTTTTAACCAAATTGGGGGGCCACTCGAAACATATGTTTTTCCTCCCTGGGGCGAAAACGGAAAAAAGAAAGGGGGGAGGAAAAAAAACAGCAACTGGAATTGAGGCGGGCTCGGAGGGCTCCAGCACCTACGCGGGCCTCAGAGCCGGCAGGGGGCCCCGGACACGCCGAGAGAGATGAGGAGAGAGCGCCGAGATCGAAATAACCCAAGGAGAGCTGAGCGACGCGGGTTGGAATGTTCTGGGGGGTCCCATAGTTTAGGTATGCCGAAAACGGAGTTTTGTTGCCTTCGGGTTGCCTTTCTTTGTCGTGTATTTTTGGTCAAGGTCCCTGTTTCGACCCCCAAAATGATGGGTTTTTGGGGTTTCCCTTCACTCAGCGACTTACTGGCTGCTAGAAAAATGGTTGTACCCCTTTTTGGGTTGAAGGGAAACCAACAAAAAGCCGCTTATTTTAGGGGCTCCTATTGTGCCTCATGCCCATACCAGGGGCTAAACGCTGCAGCGTTGCCCGCCTCGGCCCAGCCGAGCGCGCAGCGTCTGCGGTTCGACTGCAAGCAGCAGAGCTGGGCAAGTGGCGATTCAGGAATGGACAGGTTGTGGCGTCGTTGGACCAATTGATATCATGGGCCGAAGTTGCGCAGGAATCCCCGAGGCAAGGGCAAGGCGATGCATAGGCAGAAAGTCACGACAACCAAAGCAGAGCTGGGCTGGGCTTGCCTGGGTGGGTTGCTGGTTGGCTGGGGCCTGAGGCTAGTCTCAGACACGTCAGACAGGCCTGGGCAGCAGGAGGTCATGCCTTTTTGTTTTGTCATTCTCAGCCTGGATGCCAACGACACCCAAAAATTTCCAGGCCCGCCGGACAGGAATTGGGCCGGCAGACATGGGTGAGGGGGCTGGGCCGGATAGTTTTGGGCAGGGAAGGTGTTGGGGTTTGGAAAAGAGATCTGAGCGCCGTCAGAGGCGAATTGCACATCGTGCTATGTTTATCACCCCCACCCCAGTCTAGTTCTTGAGGCCCTGACCGTACCCTAAAACGAAGCTTGCAAAAAAGGCTACGTGACAGGCTTGGGCCAACTCCATATTAAACCCATGGCTTTTCTGAGAACCAAGGGTTGAGTGATTGGTGGGGCTCCTGTTCTCGGCAATGCCCGCCTCGCAAATCATAGTCATACCTTTACAAGCGGCACCAGGGTCAAAAAAGGGCCCATACTAGTGACAACTTGACAACCTCTGAAATCTTGACAAAATATTGACACTACACAGAGCTCTCCGGCCTGCATCAGATCGCCTGGCAGGGCTAAGTTGGCTGTGGATTGCACGGGATTTGTGTGGCATCTCATGTTAGCGCTGCCTTACGTACACAATAGGACACACACACACCTGAACACAAGGGAAGCTGCAGCTACACAGGAACCACAGTTTGTTTGGCATGTTCCCCTGTTGGAGACAAAACCATGAGTCAAAGATGAACACACATGTATATATACATGAATATGTATACACAATTGCAAAAACTATACAGTCTGTAGTTTGCTATGGTCTTCTAAATCGATGAACAGGTTTGTTCTCCGGAGTCACTGGAAACCTGGACTTGGCCTGCAACAAAACACAAAACACATCGTGTCGCTTGAGCAGCTGTAGCTTTGCCAGCAAAGGGTTTCTTGTTTTTCCGCAGTGCTCAGTGGATTCGACCCTGAAACTTCACTTTTCTTGTGGTGGGTTCCCCACCAAAGAATTTGTCAAACCTAGTAAGGGCTCTCTTTGTGTTGACTGTCACAGGGCAACCGGGATCAAGTGCAGCCATTGTGCAGCAACAAACCGTGTTTTCTGCAATGAAGTCTGAAGTTTCAACAGAGAAAAGTCAGAAGTTGTTGCTTGACCGTGGCAATCTTTGTTTCAGTTTGGAGAATTGCGAAGCGTTTCAAATGAGTTTTCCTAGCTTCTCACTGCGCTCGGCAGGCAAGATGTTTGTCGGCCTGTGAGAGGCCTTTTTGGAGCAAAAGGAATTCGGCTGTTCAAAGCCCTGGTACCCCCTAACCCCCCAGATTTAACCCCCCAGATTGCCTTTGAAAATGACCAAACAACACGGGGGGGGGGTACCAAAAACGGGCAGACCCACACCCATTTCCTTTTGGTCAAAGCCCATGATTCGTGGCCACAACTCAGGCTCCGGCTGCTGGACCTGCGCGACAATGCAGTGGCGCAGCTCGAAAGGAAGAAGCCGAGATGAAAATGCGGTAGGCGTCTAGCACTGACCCTCAAACTGGCTTGTTTTTTTTGTTTGTGTGTGTGTGTGTGTGTTTTTGAGGGTATCCTTCGTGTGGTTGGTTTCAAGGGAAACAGACAATTTGTTGGGCCCCCTTTCTTGTGAAACGCAAAGAGCAGCCTAGCGACTTCACAAAAGGTTTCAGTTTGCAACCTTACCCACGATGAAAGCTCGTGCCAGGGCGTTCATGCCCGATTCTGAATGGCTTGCATCCTGCGTCTTAAGTTATATAGATCATGCCAAACATCTAGCGTTTGTTGGGTACAAGAGAGTTTGCTAAAGAAGGGAACTCCTCCTCCTCCTTTCTGTTTGGGTGTACCTTTGGCGCCCTTTCAAATCAGCCAAGGAGTGCCAATATCGCGAAACTTCCCCATTCGGACTTACGTCCATGAGCCTTCGGCATCTCTTTGTTGGCTTGGACGGTTGAAATGGGCGTGTCTTTTTGAGGTCATAGAAAGGGAGCCACTATTTTGTTCGCACATATCTGAGCAAATTGGAAGCAGAAGGCGCACATCTTTGCACGCATGGGGCACCCCAAATGGGTTCTAACAAACGGGTTCCAGCTGGCACCAAAGGAGAGTCATGTGTGCAGCATCCTAGAACCCATTCTTTAGCGCTCATTTAATCTCACCCCCAAGGTTTGCTTCATTCGACCAATCACAGCCAACATCGATGTTGCAACCTCTCACCCGGACGTATCTCTATGTTTCCAGGTTGAACATTCAAGGAAAGACTCGGAGTCAGAAGGCTTTTCGCGACCCGTGCCAAAGGCATTTGGGGGAGCTGCTCTATCTCGGAGGGCTGCCATTGGAGGCGTGAAGCGGTGCGATAGCCGGGGAGTTGACAGAGCATGCCACCCAAGAAAAACACCTACAAAGGCACAACACATTGTTGCACCAACCCAGTGGAACCGGGTCGTTGGATAGGTTGGGTCAGGACATGCGGGTTTGTCTTTTGCTTACCCCTTTTGGGGTGGCAAAGCGAACGGAGATGGCCAATGCTTTGGGGGGTCGCCTATTTTGACACCCAAGCGAAGCATCCTTTCCAACAACTATTCAAAGGATTCTGGAGAAGCAACAAGCCAGTGGCACGACTCCCTCGGGGAAAGACCAGCAACTTTTCGCAGAGCCCTGTTGGAGGGGTCCCTTTGTTTCCTACGATGGGGGAGCGGAGGTCCAATCAAATCACTATTTGAAATGAAATTAGTTGGCACAAGCCGAAGGCCTTCATGGAACGGCCTCGCACATGTTGAGCGTTGTCTTTGTCTCCCCCTCAATCAGAACCCAAACGCAACCCAAACGTGTTCCGCTTCCGTGCCAAAAGCGACCCTCCGGGTCCGGGTATCGATCCCTTTGGGGGTGAACTGGCTGAGATTCCCAGACCTGTGCCGTGCTTTTTTTTTGTGTTTGAGACGCGGCTTTTCGCTTGAACAACCAAGAGTGCCTTTGGCTTACGGAATCCACCGGAGCCAGCCAACGACTAAAGCTTTTGGATGCACGCCTAGGACTTGCGCCTACAGTCCCCGGGAGGACGGGCACGAAGCGGTCGTACAAAAACAGCCTTCTTCTTGCCCGTCGAAGAACCTGAAAGAAGTTTCTTAAAAACCTTGCCTCGTTGTGGGAGGGGTGGGGGCCTTTGGCTTCCTCCCAATGTGTTGCTTTCAAGCACCTAGGCCGAGGCCAGTTTATAAAGTTCTTTCTTGGGAACAGGGTCTTGGGCGGAAGTGGCGCGCATGAGAGTTTTCGTCCGTGGGCCTGGTGGATCCTGGTACCGCCATAGTACCGCAAGCACCTTTTGACGGGAAAAGACACATAGAGGAAGACAACTTTGGTATTGTCAATGAGCACCAACCAACTCGCTATAGCAATATATTAGCAAGTTTCCATGTATTGATTGTTCAGGAATCACGTTTGGTATGTCACTACACTTGGAGAAATCTGCTAATGATGAAACAGCTTGTCAGCAGCATATTCGCAAGATTCTACACATGGATTGTCAGAATCGTAGTTGGTATTTGTCTGCATTGGCGCATGTTGTTCCGTGATTGCCTGGTTTGGTACATCTTCGGCCGAGATTTCGGCAGCCTATCCAGGTCCTGAAACAACCTCCGGATGCGTGCTGGCTTTCCCCATATCAGGTTGGGCACGCCAAATAATTACTCGCCACGGCTGCTGTGTTGTGAGCTAAGGGTCCATGCTCAACAAGACCAGAGAAACCGCTTTGACAGGTTTCGCTCTTGGTGCATTGCAGACCTGGGACGCATCCACTGATTTCAAGCGGAACTTGGGACCACAGGGGGCACCACCTCTTGGCAAGTTTGTAGCGAAGTGGGCTGCAACTGCCCTGATGAAGCTTCCTTTCCGAACTTGTCTGCCACCTGTGACGCATGGATGTCAAAGAGCGAGGAGTTGCTCGAACAATGCGGCGTGCACGACTTTGGTGATAGAAACTTGTTGAGGTGTGCCGTGCATTTGCAGTGTCTGCCGTTTCTTCGCTCCACCTTTGCCCGGTCAACTGCTACAGGACCATGCCCTGCATTTTGAAAACGCATGTTTTATGGCGCGCGCTGTCTTCAATCAGGGCGACTTGCCGCTTGCGCCTGCTCGATTTCACGATAGGGCAACCAGCGATCCCTTTCCTTCTGTGGTGGACTGCCACAATTTACCTGTAATAATACATATATATATATACACACATCGGGTGGGTCCCAGGAAAAAGGGGGGGTCCGTTGGTATATGGTCCAGCTCCCGCACACAACAGTTGCTTCCTTCCCCCTGCGGAGCCAAAACGAAGCACCAAAACAAATCCATCGCCTCTGGCCGGCATGTGTTTGTTTTGCAGGCGAAGCGTCTCGGCCTGTTCCAAATGTTGGACTTTTGGCGTTACCTTCCCTATTTGGTCTCAAAAGGAGTGAGGGTGCAATTTGCCAAGCCGCCTCAACCTTTGCGGATGCTACTTGCTTCCCTGTTTGGTCATTCTAGAAGCCATGACTGTCCATTAGCTGGTAGTAGATTCCAATGGGCTCTCCAAGTCTTTGTTAGAGGGTCGAACACAGACAGACAAGATGAAACTCTCGTACAGACAAGTTGAAGCCTTTACATACCAGACGTGAAGCTTTGAGAGACTAGCCACCCTCCCCCCCCAAAAAAAAACAACAAAAAACAAAAAAACAGAAAAGGAAGGACAGTGACAAGGCGAAAAGAAGCAGAACCCACCCCCCCTACTTGGATGTTCAGTCCACGTAGGCTACAAGAATGGCAGGGCAGCTAACCCCAGTGACCTCCGTTCTAAGCATGTTTGCAACATCGTTACTTGGCTGTGGGTCAAAATTAGGCAAAATGGAACCCTGGCAAATAGAAGCAAGGACTAACACCTGCGGTCCACTTGGTTGAACAAACCCCTGCTGGCTTCAATCTCTTGCAGGACGCCGCGGCAATCCCATTTGCCGCCTGCCAGGCGTGGAAGCGCGCTTCGCGCGAAGCGCGCGCTTCGCTCGACTCCGAAACAGGGGCCCAAGGAATTCCAATCCTCTAGGGGTTAATTCCTTTTCCATTCTTTTGAGCCATCGTCTTTTCAAAAACCGATCGCCATTTCCCCAGGGTTTTTGGTGGTCTAGAAAGATCCGGATCCCTGGAAAGAATGGACATGGAAGTTATTTCTGGAAATCCCTGAAGTCTCCATTGCCCTCTACAAACGGGGTCTACCCCATGTCCCCATACCGCCTGCGTGGGAGTCTGGTTTCACATGAAGCCATTTGCGGCGAACTCACCAATCAACTGTGGAACCCGCCAATTGCTGTGGATTCAACCCGTTTTTTCCAGACGCGTCGGATGGTTTCTTTGTTTGGTGGGTCAGTTTCTCAGCTTTCCTTTGATCATTCAGGTTGGGTCGTTGTCAAACAAGCAGAGCCGGTTCAATGTCAGGAAGCATCCAAAGCAAGATAAGTTGTGTTGATTCAGAATCATTGGACGATGTCCAGACCGTGCGCTTCTTCATTGACTTGAACGCTGGACAATGACACGCGCCTTGCTAGGAGCCTGGCAAACGGGTCACCCCTTTTTAAATCTGAGCAAAACAAACATAAATCCTTGTGCTTTCATTGGGATGCTGATGCCAAGAAAGAAGCAGTCATTCGATTTGTAAAGTTGAGCGCAGACCATCACTTCTCGACACAACTGGCAGAATGCTCAGGGACCAGGGGGAGGACACGCTGGATCTCCTGATTTTTCCTTGGACGCGTCGTTGAAACTTTGTGGCCGTCTCAGACAGATGTAGCTGTGAGGACACATGATTGTGCCGTGCCTGATGGTCCCATTCTATTTCCCAGCCCTTGTAGGGGTGGAACGCGAGTGTAACACTTGCGGATGTACTGTGTGGTTCCATTTCTCTGTGGTACCCTATGTCCGTTTTTGTTCGGGTTGCCGACCAAGAAGGGTCAACCCGAATCAGCGTTCCCTTTCTTCTGCCAGAAAAAAGGGACAATGTGGGTCCGAATGTATTTGTTTTGCTTCCGGAGGGTGGCACATGCGCAAGGATTTGAACATTGAGCTGGATTCGGGTTCCGGGCTCTGCTTTTTCGGAGCACAATGTTCACAGACTATTTGACTGAATTGCCAAACTTTATACTCCGTTTTGCCCTTTAAGCTGTTTGTGCCGTTTTGTGTGTAGGCATGTTCAGCCATTATAGGTCTTGGGCGTGCACCGCTACCACGACCAGGTCCAGGACGTGCTGGCCAACATCTACTTCAACCTCCTGACACCTGGGTGCCTGCGGATGGATTTCGTGACCGCAATGAGATCTACCAATTCACCATGCCGGATGTGATCATGAATACGCCTCACTCAAGAGATCGATGAATGACATGCGCATCGAGGACGTGCGGTTGGTCCAAGTGATTCATAAAGACACGCCCAATTGGTTGTTGAGACCAACGGCGCATGGCCACTATGTGACATGGGAAGGATTTCGTTCTCGAGCAGAGGCGCTGTTATGGAGCACTTCTTCTAAACTATTGCGGAAGTCACAGCCTCTCAACCTCAACCTCCTTGAGAAGGAATTGTTCACTCATGCTTTATGACTTTGCTTTCTATTGTTAGCTTTCGAAGGTGCCAGACATTTTCTGTTTCCGGCGTCAGCTCCCTCAGGCAGTTCATATCATTTGGATCTACATAATACTGTGACATAAGATTGTTCGCAGGAGTTGTTTCTTCTGAGATTGGTTTGTGGGCATGCAAGACATTTCATGCGTGGGTGTCAGTCTTTAACAATAATTTGTTAATGTTGAAACGCATGTGGAAACATGAACTGTGTTTGAAATGCTTGACCATAATGGCCCCGGCCATTTTGGCTCAAGCTTTGCTCTTGGGTTCTCTGAACCCAACTTGTGTGAAACATTTGAAGGGTAGCACTTCCGAACTAACCCCGAACCAGCAATGGCCTCCTCGGCAACTTCGGCAACTTCCTTCGAGTTGATTGAGGACCAGGCACTCACCGCGGAGGAGGTGGAAATGGCCAGCCAGGAGGCCCAGGAAGTCCGCACACGCGAGGCGGCTGTGGCGGCCGGACTGGTGTTGGATGAGCCCGAGGCGCCCCCGTCGGCATCGGCCACCGATGTGATGAACGACCTCTCCAGTGCACTGGAGCGGCTCCGTGTGGCCTTCTCCACACCGACTCCCGGCCTGGGTGCCCCTGGCCCCGCCGAGGACGAGGACAAGGAGATGGGCGATGAGGTCACCACGGAGCGGGCTACTCCACCAACGAAGAGGCTGAAGGGCTTCGTGGCGGCCTCCCAGACGACCACGGCCCCGGTGAACAAACCGGTCTCCCTGGTGCCGGTGGATGGCCGTCCTGGCTATTTCAAGCTAGTGGACCTCCCAGACCTCTTCCCGGTCCTTCCGGCATCGGCGGCCACGTTGCTGAGGGACGTCACGGTGGAAGAGGCGGTCTCCCTGTTCCACAAGTTTGTCGGTAAGAATCTCACGGAGGACTTGGTGGTTCGCATCCTGGAGGCCGATGTTCCGATGAAGATCCAGATCCGGCAAGAGGAGGTCTGGGCCTCTCAGTTCCAGCGGAATAAGGCATGCATTGGCACCCAGCGGATGCACAGACTCGATGCCGGCCACTCGGACTACAAATTCATGTGTAAGGCATGCGGCACGGGGTGGCCGGCAGCCAATCAATGCTGGGTCTGCCCGGGCAAGGAGTTTGTCCCCTTCCAGGCACCCTCGGCTACCTACGAGGCGGACGGCGTCACGTACAACCTGCTCATTGTGGAGGGCAAGCCGACCTGGATCCAGCAGCGGGATGGGGGAAGCCTGGGTGCCGCTGGCCCCAGTGGTACCCGGGCACAGGCAGACCGCAACCTGGTGGATGGCACGATCCTGGGGAGAGCTCCCCAGAAAAAGGACAGGGCAGAGGAGATCACTATGGCTGACGTGGTCCCGCTTAACAGGCGGGTGGACATCCGGCAGGAGATCCTGTCCATGGAGGCGGACGATGAGGCGTTGAAGGTCCGGGAGCGCCAGGAGGTCAAGGTCAAGGTGCAGCGGTCCCTGCAGGAGGCAGAGGCTCAGAGCTTCCAGCTCTACCACCCCCAGGTGGACCAGGCGATCCGGAAGAAGGAAGAGCTGCACAAGGCCTTGAGGGAGCACCGGGAACCGACCCCGGAGGAGTCCTCGGCCAGGCGGCGGCACAAGGAGCTGGTCACGGATGAGATGCTGGACAATGAGATGGCAATCCTGGCGCCTCTCCAGCAGGCCCTACCGGCAGAGGAGGTGGCCAACGAGGGAGCCCGGGCCCTCAGGAAGGTCAACCTGGAGCGATTCAAGGCCAAGCTGCGAGACCAGTACCTGGAGGGTAAGGGTGTCGACGCCAGCCAGGCACTGGCTGATGCGATGGGCTCCATTCAGGAGGCGCAGGAGGCGAACAAGCGCACCCAGGACACCAACCAGGCATGGATGCTTAACCACACCCTCCAGCCCTTGGAGGTGTCGGCATGGCCAGATGATCTCAGGCAGGCTCTGGAGAGGGGGCTGTTCTGCCCCCTGGAGCTGGATGACCCCGAAGACATCCCCAACGTGGGGGACATCAAGGAGAAGTACGTCCCCTACATCCGGAGGCTCAGAGAGGCCCAGAACCCGGAGGCGTTGCTGGAGGAGATGCCCGATCTGGCGACACCGGCCCCCCCCAAGGGTGCCACTAGCCCTGGGGGGGACCAGCCAAGGCCACCGCAGGACCTGGACTCGGAGGAGGGTAAGCTGTCCCTGCTCCTCTGGGCGATGAAGAGGCACCAAGGGGAGCTACGGATGTTTGGGGGGATCTGGAAGAAGCACTCCAGCGGTGACCAAGGGCGCGGACCAGCAATTCAAGCTCTTGCCGGAGGAGCTCCTGGCCCTGGAGCGCAGGACCCACCCACTCACTCACGTGTGAGCGGGACCACATCGACCCGATCATCTACTCGGCCTTGGAGAGCGCAGGTGAACCGGGGTGAGCGCCCGGCGCCGGAGCAGGTGGTGGGGATCTTGGCTAAGGGCGATGGCGTGTTTTGGACAAGGCAGACTCGCACGTGGGACCTGCCGAGCTTGACAGGGGTGTACGCCCACCGATTCACCTTCAAGTACATCTACTCGGCTTGGACCACATTCCCGCTGGTCGTGAAGACGCAGCGACGGGGCCGCAATGCGGAGGGCTCGGCTTCGGACAAGTGGATGGGGAACATCCTCCAGATGCGGAAGGAGGCGGTCCCCTTCCTGGAGAGCCTGGGAATCCCCAAGCCGCGCAGTAAGGCGGAATGGAGCTACATCTTTAAGGAGATGGGGACGTTTCTGGCAGCCAAGAACTTCATCGTCAATTGCCCATTGCCGGTGATGGAGCTCCCAGTGGCCCCCGTCCACGACAGCAAGGAGGCCCTGCGTTTCAGGGCGGTCTGTGACGAGCGAATCACCCTCCCGCTGTCATCGTTGAGGGCATTCGACTCGGTGTACACCAAACTGGTGGCAGGCCTGAGTAAGTCCTCCATGGTGGAGATCAAGGCCAACTGGCGTTGCAACGTGGTCCATGACTGGGTGGAGCCGGTCCCGCAGGAGGCGGCGGGGGCCCTGTACGACCGGCTGGGCTACTCCCAGGACCTGATCAGGCAGCTGGGCTGCTCCCCCCCCTTGGGTGCCTCTGGCTGGGGGCGGGGCGGCCAAGGAATCGGACCCCAAGGCCAAGATTCTGGCGGGAGCGGACACCACGCTCCGCACGCCGGACCAGGGCACCAGGCGGTACCCCCCGATCACCACGTCCACGGTCACGGCGGTCGCGGGCAAGAAGTACATCAACAAGCACTTCTTGAAGGAAACCAAGCACGTGTTCTGGGCCTCGGTGGAGTGCGGCCTGGTCCTGCCCAGCATCAGCGCATGGGAAGTGGTGGGCAAGGAGAAGTTCAAGACCACCGGGGGCTACATGTGCAGGT